CCAGCCCGGGCCCACCTGTGGACACATCCCTAAACCCAGACCTGTGGAGGCAGCGAGTGTCTGCTCTCAGCCCCCAGGAAAACTTTGCTCTGGAAGGAGGGGGACAGTAAAGCAATGGGCTCTGCTGGGGAAAACTGTGCTCCAATAATGGGAAAAGGAAGCTTTTTGGGGACTCATCTCCATGCCAGACCCTAGGAACTGTGAACTGAATACCCAGGACACCCTTCAGTGTCTCCGTGTGTGCTTGAAGGCTGCGTTGTGCAGCAGGGAGGAGGAGGAGGCCATCCCGCTGCTCTGTGTCCCAGCGTGGCTCTCCTCATGGGATGCTGGCACAGCATCTCCCTTCCCACGCCCGGAGCCCGGCGTCCTGCCCTGCCCCAAGGTTAAAGCCAGGCTCCTCCGGTCCCCAAGCCTGCTCCCCCGTGACTCGGGGGGAGCGCCTCGCACCCCCTTTTGTCCCAGCCAAGGGACAAAAACAAGAGGCACCAGCACCCGGCAGGATGGGCAGTCCCCCTGATAACTCCCCGCAGCTGCCTGCCACCGATTACGTCCCTGCTCTGCGCACGTCTGAACTTTCCTGCCTTCTTCTCATCTTTAATTAAGCACTTCTATCAGCCGAGCCTTCTTGCTGGATCTGAATTATATTTTTTTTTCCCCCGTAGCCATGGCAACGCTCCCCCTGGGCAGGCTGCTCTGGAGCCGGTGACAAACCCCACGTGTGGCTGTTTGTTTGGGCCTGGAACTTTCCCTGCCGTTTGGGAAAACTTGGGAAAAAAAACCCCGCTGCCGAGCCGGTGGGCAGCAAGGGGAGCCAGGGTGTGAGGTGTTGCTGTTCGGGGTGAGCATCGCTCCCGTCCCTCCAAGGAGACCCCCCCTCCAGCAGGGATGGCAAAGCCTTGATCCGAGGGTTCCTTGGTTTTTCCTCCGAAAGACGGGCACGGCGTCCGGGTTTTGTGTCCTCGCCTCAGCCACGGGTCACGGGCGACGGCCCCGCTGCGGCCATCGCGTGGTCCCTCGGTGGCAGTGGCACCGGGGCTGCCTCAGTCCTGCTCCTCCCGCCCGGACCAGCAAATCATGAGCCGTGAAGCTGCCATCAGGAGCCCAGTGCGGCAGGGGGGCAGCGACAAGGCGCACAGATGCGGTGACACAGGGCGGGGATGCGGTGACAGGGGTAGGGCTGGGTGACGTGGATGAGGGCTGGGTGACATGGGGAGGGCTGGGCGGCATAGGAAGGGACACAGGGACTTGGGGAAGGGATGGAGTGACAGGCAGGAGGAGCTGGCGGGCCAGGGCAGGGTGACAAGGCAGGGCTAGGTGTCAGGACAGGGGTAGGTGACATTAGGCAGGGCAAGTGACATAGGGCAGGGCTAGGTGATGGGGCAGGGCTAGGTGACGTAGGGCAGAGGTAGGTGATGGGGCAGAGGTAGGTGACATTGGGCAGGGGTAGATGACATAGGGCAGGGATAGGTGATGGGGCGGGGGTAGGTGATGTCAGGCAGGGCAGGTGACATAGAGCAGGGATAGGTGACAAGGCAGGGACAAGTGGCAGGGCGCGGGCTGTCCCCCACGGTGCCCAGTGCTGCCCCCGCCTGTCCCGGTGTGCCGGTGTCTCGGTCCCGTCCCCCCCGCGGTGCCGGTGT